ATTTTTTGTAGTTTTAGTAGAGACGGGGTTTCACCATGTTGACCAGGATGGTCTCGATCTCTTGACCTCGTGATCCACCCGCCTCGGCCTCCCAAAGTGCTGGGATTACAGGCTTGAGCTACCGCGCCCGGCCTCTTTGAAATCTTTTATAAGAATCTTTGTTAGAAATAACATTTGCGGCTGGGTGTGGTGGCTCACGCCTGTAATCTTAACACTGGGAGGCTGAGATGGGCTGATCACTTGAGGTCAGGAGTTCAAAACAGCGTGGCCAACATGGCAAAAGCCGGTATCTACTAAATACAAAAAAAAAAAGCTGGATGTGGTGGCATATGCCTGTAATCCCAGCTACTTGGGAGACTGAGGCAGGAGAATTGCTTGAACCCGGGAGGTGAAGGTTGGTGTGAGTCTAAATCGAACCCCTGTACTTCCCAGCGTGGTGACAGATCAAGACTCCCATCTCAAAAAAAAAAAAAAAAAATTTTGCAAGTACTGTTTTATGATGCAGAATGGTGTCTGCTTTTTTGAAGCTCCAGGCAAGGAACATTTAACGCCTATCTTGTTGAGATTTCTCCTTATTGCAGGTTAGAAGGGCTTAGAATTTAAGGGCTAATTCTATTAAGGTAATTCTATTAGCAGTAACAAAAAAAGCAAATGTAACTGAAAAGTAGTATAACGGTATTACATGAAATATAGAACATGTAATATTTTGCATCTACATTGGTAATCAATTCATTTTTGAAGTTTGACTTTTATTTTTTGAGGCAGAGTTTTTGCTCTTGTTGCCCAGGTTGGAGTGCAGTGGTGCGATCTCGGCTCACCGCAACCTCCGCCTCCTGGATTCAAGTGATTCTGATTCTCTTGCCTCAGCCTCCTGAGTAGCTGGGATTATAGGCATGTGCAACTATGCCCAGCTCATTTTGTATTTTTAGTAGAGACGGGGTTTCACCGTGTTGGTCAGGCTGGTCTCAAACTCCCAACCTCAGATGATCTGCCCGCCTCAGCCTCCCAAAGTGTTGAGATTACCGACATGAGCCACTGTGCCTGGCTGAAGTTTGAGCTTAAATACTACCCCCGGGAGCCTCTCTGATTTACCCAAGTTTTCCATCCCCTGTGTTCCCCTTACTTTTTGTTCATAACTGTTGATCTTCCACTAGAAACTAGTGTTTTCAAACTTGAGTGTGTGAATTGGGCTTGTTAAAAGCATAGATTGCTGGGCTGCATCCTCAGAGTTCCTGATTCAGTGTCTTTTAGGACCCAAAAATTTGAGTTTAATGACTAAGGTTAGTTGTGAGACTATACTCTGAGACCCACTGAGTTACATGTTTCTGGGAAGAAACAGAATGAAACTATCTATATACAGAAGGCTTAATACTGTGTTAAACACTGTGTCTTCAAATATATGTTGAATGTATGAAGGAAGAAATTAAGGAATGGAGTAATTATTACTAACCTTTTATGTTTTCCTTAAATCCACAATTTCACCTACCTTCTTTCACTCAGTGGATGAGTTTACCTTCTGCTGTGTTGTGATCAAAGCCACAAACTTGTCTTCACTCAAAACTCCATCTTTTCTCTGCTTCTCTTTGTCTGTCTCAGGATAATGTTCCTTCGCCTTTTTGAAGCTAGCTTTTTTTTCTTGCCCCCTTCTGGGAACTTAATAATCCCTTTTTCTGGTATCTAGTTTTTCCAGTTGTTTTTTCCCTTCTGCCTAAAACAAGACAATTTTTTCATGTGTTCCCTATTCAGTAATGCTTTTGGCTGCAAGTGACAGAATACCTGACTCAAACTGCGTTAGCAGTAAGGACCTTAATTGGCTTACATGACTTGAAAGTCTAGTGAGTAAATAAGCTTCAGAGTTGTTGGATCACATCGTTGAGTTGATTGTGCTTTTGTCTGCTCTGCTTTTCACAATGGCAAAGCTATTTTCCTGTGGTTTTTGGATGCTTTATAATCAACACCTTGTGCTAACTTCATAGGGGATAGGGCATAGCAGAGAGTGAGGAGGAAACTCTCGCAAGACCAAAGGACAACTTTCCCAAAAGCCTACAGCAAACCTCTCTTCTCTCATCTGCCAGAATTGCTTCACAAGTCACATTTTTTCTTTCTTTCTTCTTCTTTTTTTCTTTTCTTTTCTCTCCTTTCTTTTTTTTTTTAGTTGGAGACTCACTCTGTTGCCCAGGCTGGAGTCTGGTGGCACCATTTCAGCTCACTGCAACCTCTGCCTCCTGGGTTCAAGCCATTCTCCTGCCTCAGCCTCCTCCCTGAGTAGCTGGAATTACAGGTGTGAGCCACCGCACCTGGCCCACATTTCTGAACCAATCACTGACAACAATAACCTGAAACTGAGGCTAGAATTCACCTTCCTTTTAAGCATATGGTTTCCTGGGAGTAATATGTATATTGGTCAAATTTGAAGTTGTGTTTAGGAAGAGAAATGAACGAATAAGCAATCAATGTTGTCCCCTATACCTAGCTTAAAAAGGTGTGTTTGTGGCCGGGCGTGGTGGCTCACACCTGTAATCCCAGCACTTTGGGAGGCCGAGGCGGGCGGATCACGAGGTCAGAAGTTTGAGACCAGCCTGACTAACATGGTGAAAACCCGTCTCTACTAAAAATACAAAAATTAACTGGGCGTGGTGGCATGCACCTATAATCCCAGCTACTTGGGAGACTGAGGCAGGAGAATCGCTTGAAGCCGGGAGGCAGAAGTTGCAGTGAGCTGAGACTGTGCCACTGCACTCCAGCCTGGGCAACAGAGTGAGACTCTGCCTCAAAAAAAAAAAAAAGTTACATTTGGTGGGGACTAAAAACTTTTATTTGTCATTCTGGCTACCATCACAATTTACTTTTTTTCTTTTATGGTAAGAACTATTGCAAATTTATCTTCCACCTACATCTTTCATGGCCTTTTCACTCACTAACTTCTTAGCCCTTTATTATTTAATACATGTTGTCTTCATCATCCTTTGGGAGTTGCTCTCTCAGTGGCTATTGTAGTGGTCATTGTTGGTTGTAACGACATCTCCTGCCTTCACTGTATATCTGCCAAATAGTCAGGGTTAGACTGACCTAGTTGGAGCTCAGCCATGGGTTGTGATCAATCTAAGCCTGTCAGAATATTCACATCTCCCTTGCCATGATGACTGTTCAGAAATAGGTAACTCAGGTCTAAGCCAGAGTAATTGGCTTGGGGGTGAGCACCAACCTAAATTGATTCTATCAGAGCAAAAAAATTCTATCTACTTATTTTAGTGATTTAGGAAGGAATTGTGGGTGTATAGAAGCAGCTCCCTCCATTTTGGTACCATAAGGGACACTTCTCTGGTGATGAAGTTAGAACACAAATGGGATGAGGTAGCGGGGGCAAAGAAAAGAATCACAGAGAAATGGAGCTGGAAACCTGATTCAACTGCCCGAAACCTAACTTATCGCGAGACTTTTATTACTGCTCTAGATTTTATTTATTGTTAAGCCAATTTAGAAGTAGATTTTCTTACAACATATCCCAATTAATAATGGTCACTAATGGTCTCCTAATTGCCAAATGTATGGACTT